CAAAGTGCGGGTCCCGCCGGCGCGAGCGTGACGCTTCAGCGGAGCTCCCAGCACCGCCGCGCTCCTGCATCCCGAGCCCGAGCCGTCGCGAGCCAGGCATGGCCACCCCGCCCAAGAGGTTCTGCCCTTCTCCCTCCGCCAGCTCCGAGGGGACACGCATCAAGAAGATCTCCATCGAGGGGAACATCGGTAAGGCGACCCCGCTCCGGTACCGGTGCCGGTGCTCGGCGTTCCCTTCGCGCCCGCACGGTGGCTCCTCTGGCCCTGCGCCATCCCGGGGCTTTGTGAGGCGCGCTCTGGGCCACTGCACCCTCTTTGTTAGGAACTTCCAAACGCGAGGGTTCGGGGCGCAGTTGGGGGGATGCTGCTTGTCTTGAGAGGTAAAAGCGACCCCCTTTTTTAGGTGTGCTCTTCCGGTAGGTTTCACTAACTTTGCAGTTTTGCTGCAAAATTGAGAACATTTTCGTCACCTCCCCCTTTAGTTCCCTTTGTGCTTCTTTGTAGTCAGCTCTAGAATTCTCCCTGTACAAGCCCTGACTTGTTACTTTTTACTCCATGCAAATTTTGTTTTTTTCCACAGCGTTCTAAGCAGAACCAGAGTGTCTGGTCTTCAATGTCTTGTATGGTTTACCAGAGTGCTTTTACGATTCGCTCATGCTTTGTTTCTGTGGTACTTTTTTTTTTAAATTTGGCTTTTTTGAGACTGAGTCTCTATGTAATCCTGACTGACTTGGAACTCACTATGTAGAACCTTGAACTCTCAGAGATCTGCCTGCTTCTGCCTCCCAAGTACTGGAATTAAAAGAGTGCACCACCACGCCTGGCCCATTGTAGTACTTAAAAAATAGTGTTGAATAATATTCCACTAAATGGTATATTCCTCATCTGTTCCCCCATGGTCAACATTTTTGGGTTGACGCTGGTGGCAATTCCTAAGACTGTGTAGGCATACGAGGAATTTCTGTCCTAATTGGGATAAACTACACCGTGCATGTGATTCTGCAAGGTGAACACGAATCTCCCATTTCTTTACACTTCCGACCACAGGAAACCTGATGGTGTTTCCTGTTTATACGGCTGTCATTTGGGGGCTGCAAGTTGAGCACTGACTGTTGATGTGTGCCACAGATGGTTTCATTTGGATCACATTCAAAGTACCCACTCTTTAAGAAGGCAAGCAGGTGTGGATGCCTTCACGAGAGCAGAGCTGAAACACAGACAAGAGGGCTTACTTTACTTACCCCATCCTTAGACACAGGTCGAATTGGAAGAGATACGTATTTCTTAAAAGTTCTTTGAGATGTCATGCTTACCAGCAAGACAACACACATCTCTTAGTAGATAAAGATGACTGTACGTAAAAACAGGAGGAAGTTCTTAATAAAGTCATCTTTGAAGTAGATTTCAGTGGACGACCCCTGGGATCAGAACCATAGTGGATTATCTATCTCCTTTCCCTCAAACCCAGGCAACATACACCTAGAGGTCTCCCTGCCTCTATTCATCTTCAATCTTCTCATCCCTGAAAGCATTTGTGAATGTCTGTGCCTGAAATCCCTCCCTGACCTCCTCCCTACTGATCTGGAAAGAGCTGCATGTTAATGGCCGGCCTTTGCACACCATTAGGAAAAGCTAGTTACAAGTATTGAGATTTCCCTTGAGCATCTAGGTCTTTGACCGACCAAAAAGAAAGAATCTGGTGATTTGGCGAGTAGACTTACAGCAGTGTTGGAGGGACTGCCATTTAGATTCTGCATGTTAAGATAGCCACTTGTGATCTTTCCTGCAGGGAGGCGGCACCTCTTGCCTCTTGCTCCTGTAGCTTTGTATGGTTGTTTACATCCCTCTTACCTTTATTTGTTGGGTCCTGTTGATGTAAAGGTTGTGCAATCTGTGAAGACTACCTTGTAATTCTTCTGTTCATCCTAAAATTTGAAGATTGTTTGGTCATTTTTAGTTGCGTAGTCACGTAACCTGTTTTCTCTTGTTCCGTGTTGCTGAGTTACTCCCAGAGATTAGGTTTATGGAGGCCCTGTTGACTCATTTCAGTGTGTTCAGAATGACGTAGCGTGGTGATGATTGCTTCGCATTAGGGATTTGTTTGTTAACCATGACTTTCTGGTTGTTTGTGTTTTGTTTGAGATGGTTTCACTGTACAGCCCTGACCTGCCTGGAACTCACTGTGTAGATCAGGCTGACCTGGAACTCACTGTGTAGACCAACCAGCGTGGCTACCTGCTTTTGAGTGCACAGCATCCAAACCCTGCGCCATCACCTCTCCTACTGTGACTTGGAAAGCTATTAACAGGTGTTCTTGCTTATTGTGATCGTTCACCTTCGTAGAATATTAGTTTCTTAGCTTTTCCCAGCTCTGATCCCAGACGTTCAGGAAGGATCTGGGTAGTGATTGTTTACGAACTGCAATTGATTCTGATTGCTCAGCTTGAAGTAAAATTTAACATTTGCAATTTTAAAGTGTAACTCTGCGAGCTTTTTGTGGTTGCAATTGGTGTCAGAGAAGGCTTTATGTGTTAGCCGTAAGTACCTTTAGATTCTGGACTAGTCTGAGATACTTCAGTGTGTTTTTTGGCTACCCTGGATATCATGTTCTCCTTTCCGCCGAGGCCAGTGAGTGATGACCATTTAAATCATACTTCTGGATGCATTACTCTCTGTAAACTTATCCTTTCCACACAGAATTTTGGTCACCCATGTTTTCCCTCAACTAAATAGCCGCCCAGTTTATCTTTGCCTTTGTTTCTTCTCTTTTTGGGATTTAGCAGCTTTGATATGCTGTTCTTCACCCACCCTGTGACCCTATTGATCCCCCTTTCCTTCATCTGTGCATGAGTCTCTAAGGTTCTTCCTGATTTCCTTCTGGCCTTGTATAGTGTTGGAGTTTTGTCTGTACTTCTGAAAGTCAAAGGTAAGTTCTTGGTGCCAACCCTGAGCCTGTTTATAAGGAAGAGGATACTTGGCGAAGATACTGAAGCTATATATATATATTGTGTGTGTAAGGTGGAGGAAGGAAGACTATAATACTGGCCAGTGATGGATGCCTCATATAGCCACATTTGGTGACTTACGATAGAAAGGGTGTGGTGGGCATTAGAAGAACTGCTACGCCCTCTGCGCCACAAGGTCCAGACTCATTGATAACCAAAATGATGACTATAGTATGTCCTGATTACACATAAGCTATTTTTGTCTTTTTTTTCATGGATACCTTAGAAACTAGTGAATGATCAGGAAAAGTAAAGCTGTATTATTATTATTATTATTATTTAAGGGTTTGATACAGGGCACAGAACCATAAAATCGAGGCAGACTTCTCCAGCTGTTAGTCATAGGAAGTGCTTTGCAAGACCTAAAGTTATTTCTCTAGCCATAGGCTTATTAGGATCAGATTGTAGTAGGCGCCAGCTCTTAAGCATTGGATGCGTCTTCCCATTGATTGTATAGTTATTTCTTTTTTTAAAAAAATATTTATTTATTTATTTATTTATTTATTTATTATGTATACAATATTCTGTCTGTGTGTGTGTCTGCAGGCCAGAAGAGGGCACCAGATCTCATTACAGATCGTTGTGAGTCACCATGTGGTTGCTGGGAATTGAACACAGGACCTTTGGAAGAACAGACAATGCTCTTAACCACTGAGCCATCTCTCCAGCCCCCTGTATAGTTATTTCTTAATTGGTTTGTTTATTATTGGTAAATTACTTTGGTTGTATTGGGGTGTCTACCCTACTTTTCCTGTTTTTAATTTTTTTTTTTAATTTTGTGTGGAGCATGGTTAGCCCAGTTTGAACTTGAACTCAGAGCAGCCCTGCTACCTAAGCCTTCCGAGTGCTGGGGTTGTGGGTGTGGCTGTTACACCTGCTGTCGTTTGTTTTTTGAGTTGTGTCTCATCACGTAGCCCAGGCTGGGCTAGAATTCAAAATCTCTTTAGCTTAGCCTGCTAGATTGGGAGTTCGAAGTTCAGGCTACTCTTAGCGAGAGCTCTTCAGACTGAGAAAGCAGAGGTAGGAGAAAGTCATTTACTGGGCATCCCAATAGTTTCAGTACTATTTTTTTCTTCCTGGGTTATGAGGAACTGAGGTCAGGGACTTGGTCAAGTTCATACAACTGGCTGAAGGACAGGCTTTACCACTCTCCAGAAAGTTCTTTTTCTAAGGGCTTGGCTGAGGAAAGAAAGGTGGGCCAGAAGGCAGATGGTTTTTTCCTGTCATGATATCTTTTGTAAACTTAAGCAGGGTTTCAGGTCTTCTCTTCCTTGCTAACAAATTTGTTTAGCACAGTTGGCTAGGGACCGTCTTTAAGTTTTCATTTATAAAAATAAAGGTGAAGAAAAGGTCTTACTGTTTCTGCGTATGTACCTTTCACTCTTATTCTTGTAAACGCTGATGGCCATTGGTTATGTTTGCTTTTCAAACACCTTTTCTTAGTTTTGTCTTTTCTTTTTTGTGACAGCCGCTGGGAAGTCCACATTCGTGAACATCCTGAAGCAAGTCTGTGAGGACTGGGAAGTGGTTCCTGAGCCAGTTGCCAGGTGGTGCAACGTTCAGAATACGCAAGATGAGTTTGAGGTATTCAAGTGAAATTTAAGTGAATACGATAGAAATTCTTTAGGACCTGAGGGTGGCTCAGTTCTACAGGACGGAAGTGCAGTTCCCAGCATCTATGTAGTAGCTCGGAATTGTCTGTACCTCCAGTTCCCGGGGTTCTGATACCTTCTTCTGGTCTCCGTGGGTACCAAGAACAACTCAGTGCACAGACATACATTCGGAGAAATCACCCGTTCACATTAAAAAAATAAATAAATAAATAAAAATTCTTTAGGTTAGGGGAGCAGTGTGTTTTGTCTCTTGCACCCCCCCCTTCCCTTTCCAGTAACCACTTTCAAGTCTAGCTGTGCATTTAAGATTTAGGCACTATTACATCACAGTTTAAGGTTTATGAAAGTTCAAGAAACTTAAAGCAACTGATAGTGATGGCGCACGCCTTTTATCCCAGCACTCGGGAGGCGGAGGCAGGTGGGCTTGTGAGTTTGAGGCCAGCCTGGTCTATAGAGTGAGTTCCAGAGCTGTTACACAGAGAAACCCTGTCTCGAAAAAACAAAAACAAAAAAAGTGAAAGTAACTTAAAAATCTAATTACAAATTTTTGAGTGTTTTTTTTTATAATTTAAGTGAAAACATATAAGAAAACCAAAACCTCCAGTAATTGGATTTTATTAATCTTTTCAGCCCTTTATCATTGGAAATCCATTTTTTTAAAGATTTATTTATTTATTGTGTATACAATGGTCTGCCTGCATGTGTCCCTGCAGACAGAAGTTGACACCAGATCTTATTACCAGTGGTTCTGAGCCACCATGTGGTTGCTGGGAATTAAACTCAGGACCTCTGGAAGAGCAGTCAATGCTCTTAACCACTGAGCCATCTCTCCAGCCCCTGGAAATCCATTTCTGTCCTATTTCCCTGTCCTATGCCGTCGTTCTCCACAGGCTTCCATTCTGGACGGTTCATTTCCTAGCTCTTTTCAGTCCAGCACTGCAGATGAGAAAACAGGGGGATAAAGACTTCGGTTCCTTCTTTCCTGGAGGAAGTTCTGGCTGTGTGTGCTAATGGTTCCTAAGCATTTTCATTTCTGGAGAAGCGAAATTGAAAGTAGAGAAGTTGGGCGGGCCTGTCAGAAGCTTGTTCAGTCTGAAAAAACTTGACAAAAAAAAAAAAGGAGAGCTGTTGATGTGAGGATTTCTGGGAATTATTGGGCATATGGGAGGGAATGAGTAGCAGGAAGCTACAGCCTTCGTGGGTTGTCTTAGCTGCGGTGACTATTGCTGTCACGGAACACCAGACCAGGAGCAACTTTGGGAGGAAAGGTTTATTGGCTTAGACTTCCACATCACTGTTCATCACCTAAGGAAGTCAGGGCGGGAACCTGGAGGAGGGGTGCTGCTTGGGCTTCCTCCACCCAGGACCAGCAGCCCAGGGGGGATCCCCACCCACAGTGGCCTTGGTCCTCACCCATCAATCACTAATTAAGACAACACCCTGCTGGCTTGCCTACAGACAGATTTAATGGGGGCCTTTTCTAAATTGAGGTCCCCTCCTCTCAGATGATTGTAACTTGTGTCAGGTTGACATGAAACTAGCCCACACAGGGGTATTTGTGAATTTTTCTTCTCTCTCTCTCTCTTGGACTCTTTTAGATAAAAGGGTTTCGATAGCTAAACATATTTCTCACACTTTTATTTGCAAAGCATAGTTAATTTTAGGCTTGGGCACAACTAAATATATCCCGATCCTTTGAATATCAAATACTAAACCTTAAAGGGACTACTCCCCGTATGGAATTCATTTTCTCGTTTTTTGTGTGCTTGAGGCTGTGGTCTTCTGTGCTTCAAGTAGGGTTCCGAAAATGTGGGGAACAGTATTTTGTGGGTAATGTGAAACATGAAGCAGTAAGTAGGTGGATAGCTTCTCTGTATTTTTGTATGTTGTCTTTACTCATCCTCTCCACAAAAAATGGGGTTCAGGGCTAGGATATAGCACAACAGTAAGTTGCTTACCTAGCGTGCCCAAGGCCCTGGGGTTCAGCCTTAACACCACAAAGCAACACAAGTGAAATGACTTCTGTTCTTCATCCAACCCTTCTCCAACTCGTTCTTGATCCGTTCTTTGTAGTTAGAATATGAATTGCCCAGTCTCTGAAACTCGGCTGTCTTAGGATCCTGTCATCACTGAGGAGTAGACTGTGTGGAGACCTAACCCACCAGTCCTCCTTTTGATCTTGTTTTACTTCCTGGAGGTTGTGGAGTTGGAAGAACTTGGCATTAGAGCCTTCCTCTCTTCCCTCAGTAACTAACTGTCCGTCTGTATGCTTAACTTACTTGGCTGTAAGTTGTTTAGTGGGTTTTTTATACCTGCCATCTAGTGGCTGAAGTGTTACTGTGCTACCAACCGTCTACCTCCAGTCTGACATGGTAAAGTACAAAGATTACATGGTTTTCTTTTTCATTCCCTAAATTCTGGCGAAATGATTTTGAAAACCAACAGATGATTAGTCTTTGTTTTGCAGGCTCACTTAAAGCAGTAGTTTACTCTCTTTGCTGATTTGCATTATGTAGTCTCAAAGCTTTTATTTAATTGCTTCTTTCTTTTTTCTCCCTGAGACAGGGTTTCTCTGTGTATCCCTGACTGTCCTAGAACTCTCTCTGTAGGCCGGGTTGGCTTCGAACTCATAGACATGTGGTACTCTCTTGTGGTAGACACCAGCAGTGAAATCACAGTGACACCAAACAATGAGAAGTTTCTTGTCATGTACTGTCCTTTTAAGCTTTGACACATTTCACCCTTCCATAATTTCAGTGTGGGATTTATTTATAAGGGCAGAATCCCATTGTAAGTGGAAGAGCACCCTTAAGTTTGATCTGTTAGAAAATCGGGGACTGTTGGAAGCTGATAAACTGGGAGTATATGTGTCTCACCCGAGAGAGGCGTGTGTGACTTAGCTGTAGCTGATTCTTTTTAGAGATATTTGTTTACTCTGTTTTAAGGGTATGAGTGTTTCGCCTGCGTGTGTATGTATGTGCATCATATGTGTGAGTGGTGCCTGCAGAGATCAGAAGAGGGCGTCAGATTTCCTGACACTGGAGTTATAGTAGCTGCCATGTGGGTGCTGGGCACTGAACCTGTGCAAGAGGAATAAATGTCCTTAACCAATGAGCGTTGCCCCAGCCCCCATGTAGATGATTTTTTTTAAAATTTTGTTTGTGTCTATCAGTGCTTGTGTGTGGGCATATATCTGATGCAGAAACGTGGAAATCAGAGGGCAGACTTCTGTAGTTGGTGTTCTTCTACCTTTGTATGGGTTCCAGGGGTCAAACTGGTGTCATCGGGCTTGAGTGGCCAGCACTTCCTCTGACCTTGCCAGACTCATAGCTGATTATTCCGAGAGGGCAATAGGAGTACAATATTCTCTGTCTTTTCTATTTTAAAAACTATTAAAATTTCTATTATAAATCAAATGTATTTATTTAGCTTTTAAGTATTGACATTTTTTCTGTAGGTCGTTAGTCACTTGTGAGAAAGGGTTATTTTAGACATCAGGTAAGAAAAGAGTGAGGAGAAATAATTTAATGTTTTGATTTTGCTAATAACGTATTTATGAAAGATTTTTTAAAGATTTATTTATTTTGTATAGCCTTTTGCCTGTATATCTGTCTGTATTGTGGTTGCAATGCCCATGAGGCCAGAAGAGGGTATCAGATCTTCCGGAATCGCCACTACATGGATGCTGGAGCCAAACCTTTGTCCTCTCCAAGAGCAGCAGGTGCTCTTCAGCATAGAGCCTGCTCTCTAGGACCCTTCCCCCTAGTTTCTCTTTTTGAACCTCTTAAAAAGTTAAGATAGCCAGGGACATGGTGGCTCGTCTCTTTAATCTCAACATTTGTGAGGCAGAGGCAGGAGGTGAATGTCTGTGACTTCCAGAACACCTTGGTCTGTATCCTGAGTTTTAGGACAGTCAGAGCTACATAGTGAGACCTTGTCTCAGAAAACAAGACAAAAAAGTTACAGTAACCCTATTGGCAGTCTTATTTCTCTGTTTGTTTGTTTACCTCTTTTGCCAATTTAGGAATTGACAACGTCCCAGAAAAGTGGTGGGAATGTTCTTCAAATGATGTATGAGAAACCGGAACGGTGGTCTTTTACCTTCCAATCCTATGCCTGTCTCAGCCGGATCCGAGCTCAGCTCGCCTCCCTCAATGGCAAGCTCAAAGATGCAGAGAAACCGGTATTATTTTTTGAGCGATCTGTGTATAGTGACAGGTATGCAAATGGCTTATATTTGGCTCTTTGGAGTTTATATCTAGACACTTCCCTTTTTTTCTCATTTCCTGGTAGTCAAATTGGAGGCTGAGTTGGAGGTTTTAGATAGAAAATTACATTGAAAAATAGCTTTAGCATTGTTTGTGGTGCTAATGACGTTTTGACAGAGCCCCTTTTCCCTCCAACCCCTTAGAATTCTCATCTGTTCTGATTATATCTGGATTTATATCCTAGACTCTCGCCTAGAAAAAGAAGACAAAAATTAAAAATTTCTAAAGGTGTTTTAGAATTACTCTGCCTTTTGACCTTTTTAATTATCTCAGAATAGAGGCCCTTAAAGTTTTTGGTCTCAGGATCCCTTTTTTTTTAATTGTAAAGTAGTCTAAAAAGTTTTGTCAGTTGATACATATATTACAAATTAAGATTAGGAATCAGTATACAATCAATATACAAAATATAAAATGAAAGAATCAATAATAAACATACTCTATTAACATAGAAAACCTCTGGTTTAAAACAAAAATAGATTGAAAGGAGTAGCATTGCTTTACATTTTTTTGTAGCTCTTTAATGTCTGAATTAATAAAACTGGGTTTTTATCCATGCTTGTATATTTATATGTGTGTATATGTATTTTGGTTGAAATATAGTAGTATGTGAAGTAAGTTGGCTTCTCATAGATCTGGACGGAGCTTGGGGACCTCCAGGGATCCTTATTCAACATTTTGAGAGCTACTGGGAAAGAACCCATTTCTTGTGTACGTTTTCCAAGGCACTCATTGCCACGGGATTTAGGAGTGTGTTTTACGCCCGTTTCCTCTGTCATAATTGGTGTGTCTGTGTTTGAGGGGATGTGTATGCTGACAAAGATTCTCCTTCAGGTATATTTTCGCATCTAATTTGTATGAATCTGACTGCATGAATGAAACAGAGTGGACAATATATCAGGACTGGCATGACTGGATGAATAGCCAGTTTGGGCAAAGTCTTGAACTGGATGGAATCATTTATCTACGAGCTACTCCAGAGGTGAGACCAATAAACATTTGCTTGTGCCATTGAAATTCTGAAGTAATAGAAATCACAAGACGGATGTAGTAATGACAATTTAAAACCGACTTCCAAGCTAGAGAGATGTCTCAGTGGTTAAGAGAGCTGACTGTTCTTTCTGAGACCTGAAGTTCAATTCCTAGCATCCACATGGTGGCTCACAATCATCTGTAACTCCAGTTCCAGGGACTCTGATGCCCTCTTCTGGCCCCTATGGGTACTGCACACATGAGCTGGCCAGACATACATACAGCCAGCACTCATTGACATAAAGTTAAAAATAAATAAAATCAACTCTTTAGCTCCTAACCTGGAAACTCAGAGCAGTTTCTCTGTTCTTCACCAATCCTTTTTTTTTTTTTCAGTCTTAATTCCTAACTCAGCTTCTTGTCCTATCAGAGCTAGAAGAAGAGGCTTGATTAGGTGAGACTTAGGTGAGCTGTTTTAGCTATTGTTGGATTTCTCGGACCACTGGAAGGTCTGGGGACATAGTGGAAGCTTCCCAGATGCTTGCTCTCTGTTGGAGGGCCACTTTAAGAAACATCTTATGGTTACTTGTGAATTGGTACAAAGAAATAGTGACGCACTTGCAAAGAGAGTCAGAGATCTTGTTGTTTCCAACTAAGAGAACTCCCTGAGAAATACACCTTTTATTAGGTAAATTCATTTTCTATTTGTGTATTATATTACACGAGTCCAGAAAGGTCCAGTCAGCTAGACTGACTGTTTCCTTTTCCCTTTCCTTCTTCTGACTTCTCCCATGTCCTCACTTTCAAAATTTTTTTGAAATTTTAATTTCAAAACCTTTTAAGTTTTTAATTATTATTGTTACGTATGTATGTGTATATAAACTTATAAACACAGCCTTCTTGCTCCCATGACTATGTGTTTGGGACTGGTTGCTTGGGATTGGATAACCTACCATGGGGCTTGTCCCTGGAGAAGATTGCTTCTCTCTGTCTCAGCCGAGCAGAGGATGTGCCTGCTTCTGTCTCTCTGAGATTTTGTGTGTGCTGGGATCTAGCACAGGTGCGTGTGCTGGTGTGGTCAGCGCTTTACTGACGGAGCTGTATTCCCAAGCTCTCATTTATGACCTGTGTTTGTCTTTTGAGACAAACTCTTTATGTAATCCTGCCTATCCTGGAACTCACTTCGTAGACCAGGCTGGCCTCTGCCTCCTGGGAGCGGGAACTAAAGGGCATACATGACCACACTGGGCTCATTTGTATGTTTTAATTAAAAATTACTGAAGAAAGGATTTTTAGTAGACTGTCACAGTTTACGGGCTGCATAGTCTGGTGAACGTTACTTGTTGGGGGTCCTTTTTTTCTTTCTTCTGCAGCTCTGGGGATTGAACTAGAGATACTGAGCATTGTAGACAGGTGCTTCACCACAGGGCACAGTGTGGTTGTTCGTATATCTGGGTGTTGATGAGCTCCCACAAATTGTATGGAATTTCCTTTATATGTACACCGTTAGAGAAAAATGATTGAGAGTCACACCGTCAAATGTGGCTGTGGAAGCTTGTGATTATTAAAATTATATACAAAGTTTGAGAATTCTTCTCTTTGGTCACCATGTTAGCCATGCTTCAAGTGCTGAAAAGCCGTGGTGGCTGGTGGCCACCTTGCTCTATCATACATATAGAAGACAGGTATAAAGGACCCCGTGTTCTTTCAGGTTCTGGTGGTTCAGGGACAAGCTGCTCTTACAGGGTTGGAGTCCAGCCAAGCACAGTTGCTTAATGGCAAGTAGGATGGATAGATTGATCACTCTGGTTGTTTTCTAAAAAAAAAAGTAGGTAGATATTTAATGATCTTCAGCTCCCCCCCCTTTTATAATACTTAATTAGATTAGTGTGTTTCATATGTGGATACTGATTTATTTTTCAAAGTTCAGCTTAATTAAAATAACTGACTAAAATAACACTTATAGGGAAAAATTAGCTATATCAACTTTCTAGAAAAAATACAAATACAGGGTTTTGGCTAACGTGAAGACAGCAGAAAGGAAATTTTAACGGTAGTAGACGCAAATCGTTGCTCAAATTTTTCTTATTGCTTACTTTTAGAAATGCTTAAATAGGATATATTTACGGGGAAGAAACGAAGAACAAGGCATTCCTCTTGAATATTTAGCGAAACTTCACTATAAACATGAGAGCTGGCTCCTTCATCGAACTCTGAAGTAAGGCTTTCTTCCTATTTGCTATTCACTGTGGTTCCCTTTATCGGATTTTAGTCTAGGAGATGGGCGATGTGAGTAATTGTTTTTTCGAGACTGGATATTTTCTGTGTAGCCCTGGCTGTCCTGGAACTCACTCTGTAGACCAGACTGGCCTTGACCTCAGAGGTCTGCCTGCCTCTGCCTCTGGGTGCTGGGATTAAATGTGTGTGCCTCCACTGCCCAGCTAATCTTTATGTTTACTCATGTATTCATACTTAAGTCAGTTGTGTGAAGATTTTTGTGACTAGTATCTTCTATTGGTATTTTTACTTTAAGTGATAAAATCAGCCTGTGTCTGTGTCTGTTACTAAGATAAACTCAGAAGTAATTTTAAGGCAGCATAGTCTGTCCGATGTTGTATCTGCTTTAACTTTTTTTTTAAATATTTATTTATTTATTTATTATGTATACAATATTCTGTCTGTGTGTATGTCTGCAGGCCAGAAGAGGGCACCAGACGTCATTACAGATGGTTGTGAGCTACCATGTGGTTGCCGGGAATTGAACTCAGTATCCTTGGATGAGCAGGCAATGCTCTTAACCTCTGAGCCATCTCTCCAGCCCCCTGCTTTAACTTTTTACTTTCAGTTATACATTATTAGCCTTAATTCAAAAATATTAAATGTGAAATTTCAGAAAGAATTCGTGAATTTAAAGTTGCTTGCTAAGCTGGCCATGTCTTGCCAGCTATAGTCCTGTTTCCTGGAAGACTGCCCTACAATTGCTTGAGCCCAGGAGCTTGAGGCCATACTGGACGGCACTGCCATCCATTCTGAGTAGTGTTGAAACACTGCTGTCCGGCTGTCCTGTTCCACCCAGAAGTGCCTAGGCGATGAGTAGTCGCTCTGTCGAGCTTGTCTAAGCATGTATAGGATGTGCCCAGTAGTCATTTAGTAACTGTTCTGTTTAGAGATTGTCACATATGATAGTGCTTATAGCCAAGCATCCCTTCTCTTACTCAGTAATGCTTCTGAAATGCTAGAGTCGTGAGGGATATTGGCAACCTTTTGCCAGAGAGAAGCTGTGGTGCGCTTTAAATGGAAAGGGGAACACTCTCAGTTTAGGGAAAGGAAAAGGCGGTTTTAAGGTAGAAGTAGTGTTATAGTTATATGTATATGTTAGGTGTAAGAAAAAACAGTGCATATGGCGTGGATGTTACCGTGATCTCAGTCTTACAGAGAATCCTGGAATGCATCTTACGTGGCCAGGGGAAGCTACTGGGATGTAGTTTAAACTGTGTCTTCAGCCAGGACTTGAGAGAGTAGCCCAGTTAATGGCATCGACTTTGAGTCAGCTCTCGGGCAGTATGTAACTGCATGGCGCCTGAGGCTCTGAATGGCTTTCTTGAGTTTAGTTTTCTGTCTGTTTTTCTGCAGTGCTGGGAATGGAGCCCACTGCTTTGGACACGCTAGGCAAGCACTCTACAACTACACTACACCAGTAGCTAGAATACAAGACCTTTCTCGTGGTTTTGGTTCTTGCGGAATGACATACATATATGCCTAGTTTTACATATTCTGTAGCTGAGATGATTGTACACATAGTAGTAAATCTACTGTAAAGAAGAGACTGCCAATCTCTCCCTGCAGGATAACTTTAGTCTAGCATGAGTGACAATCTTTTGACTTTTGAATATGAAGTAGTTTTTAATATTTTTTTCCTGGATTTAGTGCGTTTCTGATTTTGTTCGTCTTTCTTTTTAACAGAACCAACTTTGATTATCTTCAGGAGGTGCCTATCCTCACCCTGGATGTCAACGAAGACTTTAAAGACAAGCATGAAAGCCTGGTTGAAAAGGTGTGTTTAGAAAAAGCCTAGTGTTTGTTTTTGTCTTAGGCAGCTATATTAATTTGTGAGAACAGCTGCTTACAGAAAAGCTTCTATAAAAGTACATTAAGAGGGGCTGGGGGTCTAGCCGGGCAGTGGTGGCGCATGCCTTTAACCCCAGCACTTGGAAGGCAGAGGCAGGTGATTCTCTGTGAGTTCGAGGCCAGGCTGGTCTACAAGAGGTGGTTCTAAAACAGGCTCCAAAGCTACAGAGAAACACTGTCTTGAAAAAGAGGGCAGGGGTCTGTCTGTCTTTGAAGCACTGTGCTTTTTCTCATCCCTTTCTCTTGCCTTGTCCCACTTTTTCCTTCGCGCGCGCACACACACATACACACACGCATATGCACACACATACATACACATATGCTTTAATATAAACTGCTTAAAATTAGTTTATCTTTTTCAAGGAATCCAGTATGGAGGGCATTTAAAGTCGTAGGATATATTCTCGTTCATTTTTAGCTGATGTATGGGAAGTAAGCAATGCTAGTTTATATATTTGTTGGAGACCATGTCAAGGATGAATTGGCCTTTTTCTAATCCTTGAATCATTATTTTAACAAAGGTTAATTTAACCTTCAGAAAATTGAGAGTTGATCATTATCTAAATGAGTAATGTAATTTATACATATAAGGGAGAGACTTACTGAAGAACATTAAGGGAATAATAGAAAGAATTATATAATAAATCCTTATGTACCATTAATATTAACTTAGTGATCTCATGTCTAGGAAAAAAAACATAAATTTGTTTAGTTTTGAGAGAAACTTAGGGGCTATTTCTGTTTGTTTTTTTCTCATGAATATCTGGCTGTTTACTATAATAAAATAATGACTATATCTCAAAAATGGAAAACCTCAACATTTGAAAAATACTGCTGTGTATGGTTGGTTGCCTTTTCATATAAAGTAATATATATGTAGAAAATTCAAGTTAGTTTCTATTTATGATATTAAAATATAAGGTAGAATTAAAATATGACACTATTAAAATAAAATTAGCAGCAGTTATAGTAAGCACGAATTTAACTGAATCTGTAAAACCACTTTAATTTTATTCTTTAAAAGCCTTTTTTAAAAAGGATTTATGCATTTTTATGTATTTGGGTATTTTGCCTGTATATGTATCTGCACACCAGAAGAAGGTGTTGGATCCCAGTGAGCCACTGTGTGGGTGCTGAGAATTGAACCCGGGACCTCTGGAAGGCAGCCCAGGCTCTCTACCACTGAGCCAATTTCTAGTCTCTATTATTTTAAACTTCAGTTTATTTTTTAATGTGTTGTATCCATAAGTATGTAAGTGCACCACATGTGAGTAGTGCTCCAGGAGGCAGAGATGTCAGAGCCCCTAGAACTGGGTTTACAGATGGTAGTGGGCCGTCATATGGGTGCCGAGAATGTATGCCTGCAGGTCAGGAGAGAGCACCAGATCTCATTACAGATGGTTCTGGGCCATCATGTGGTTGCTGGGAATAGAACCTAGGACCTCTGGAAGAATAGGCAGTGCTCTTAACCGCTGAGCCATCTTTCCAGCCCCAACAACCTTTATCTTTTAAGGAAAATTTTATAGTCTACAGTGGAGAATTAGAGTCTTGCATAGTAGTCTTCATCTATTGGCTAGGTTTATTCAAAACTTATGTAGCTTTGCCTGTACACTATCATTCTAGACATGTTTGCCTTGGCTCTTCTAAGGAGAAGGATTCCCAGCACCTCATGCTGACTTGCAACTGGCTGTAACTCCAGTTTCTGGGAATCCAATACCGTCTTCTCATCTCTCTAGGCACCAGACATGCACATGGTACCTAGACATGCATGCAGGCAAAATGTTCACACATAAAAAATAAAAATAAATTTATGCCTTAATATTACAGATTTTTATGTTTGAATTGCAAAGGTGTTTAATCTCTTAATTATCAGTATTAAGACTACATATCATTGCTCTACATTATTTAAAAATACAGAGAACTATAGCTCAGAGTTGATGGCGCAGGTCTTTAATGCCAGCACTTGGGAAGCAGAGGCAGGTGGATTTCTGTGAGTTCAAGACCAGTCTGGTCTACAGAGTTGGTTATAGGACAGCCAGGACTACACAGAGAAATCCCATCTTGAAAAACAGCACTCTGTGTGTATGTATGAGAGAGCAGGCATAAAATTAGTGTTAGAGGTCTTTTAAAATTGTATAATTTTTTTAATTATATAAGTCTTAAATGTAAATTAGTTAATAATTTTAGACTGTTTACCCTACTATTGAAATACTTAGTATTTGTTTTAAAAATAAGTGCTGTGGTATTGTGATAGTTATTTATATAATTGGTGTGTTTGACTTTTCTGTAGGTGAAGATAAGATATTAGATATCAAATTATATGAAGGAATTATATTTATTTTTTCTTCCTCAGGTTAAAGAGTTTTTGAGTACTTTGTGATTGAACGGGAGCCTGCAGGCAACAGAATGTCTCCAGAAGCTTCTGTCTGCGTGTCCTCATAGCTTGATTTCATACAAAGGTCTCCATAGGAGTCACGTTTTTAAACCAGTTTCGTTGTAAGGAGAACAACCTTTTCTTTGTATATGTATTTTATTTAATATTCAGAATCCCCTGTAAAACGTCGTGCCCCGCCTTTCCTCCCTTTCTTCCTCACTTCCTTCGGTTTTGAATCAGAGGTGTTTCTCTCTCACACCAGGAAGTCTGGAGGTAGATGTTCTCAGGATCAGTGAAGTGAGTTAGGAAAGGCCCAGCCTCCCTCCGCCTTCTCGGTCGTTATCCTGAGCAGGTAGACATGTCTTCATTAGTATCTCACTCCGTTAGTGTTACACAGGGAGGATGTACATCTTTTGTAAGTTAGCACAGCTATTACAGGCTGAAAGGAGTAGTTTGGGGAATCCCTAGAATAGGGGTTTGTTTGATGTGTGTTTTGTTTTTCATCTTATTCCCTTTGGTGGTGCTGGACATCAAACCCAGGGTCTCATTTATGCTAGGGAACCTTTCTACAGTGAACTGTCTCAGCCCTGTAGTGTTGTTTTTATCAAGTGCCTCTCCTTCCACCCCACTTAAAGTTGACGATAAGACCATGTGATCATCACCTTGTTGATGTTTATTCATGTGCCTGTGGTGCATTTGTAGAGAAAGAGGTTAAATTCTGTTCCCAGTGTGGTAATGGTGTAATTACTTTATAAATCATTTAATCTTTACGTGTTTCTTCATCTGTGATGAGTACTTTTTTCTTTTTTTGTGAAAGTAAATTTTAGAGAATGGAAGAATATCTAAAAGGTAGCTAAGACATTATTACATGAGTATAAAACTTCATTAAATTAGCTACTGCTTTTCTTGAATTACTATAATTTAAATGCTTGTTTACGTTTTGCTTTTGTGGTTTTTCTTTTGTTTTTTTGTTTGTTTGTTTTTTGAGACAAAGTCTCTTTACAGCTCTGGCTAACCTGGAATTCAGTATAGAGACCGGGCTAGCCTTGAACTCAGAGAGCTCCACCCACCAGAGCTGGGATGCTGGAATTAAAAACACACAACACCGCACCTGGCTCTGATTTTCTTGAAATCACTTGAGATACAAGTATAGTTCTTCCTCTCTTTCTTTCAGTTTTTATGTAAAATGATGATAGAACATGATGACAAGTTTTGCATTGGCCCTGTATTGATAATTAGTCTCTCTGCCTTTATACATGGTAAGACACAGTGGTAGATGGTGGAGCGTTTCAGCTATCCAGTCAGCTCCTGCTGGGCCATCTAAGATGGAAGTCACACTCTTCTGCTGGGAGACTGTTGTGATCACAACTTCGCTTCATAGTTTGCTTTGTAGAGTTTTTCTTAAATCTCTTATACTCACAGAGAAATAATTGATAAAACAATTTTGCTTTATATATAGTGCTTCATGGAAATGTTACAGTTTTTTGTTGAACTAGGAAATAACTAAGGCTTTAAGTTCCTGTTAACAATGCATGTATCTCTAAACCACTTTGATGTTTAGCTGGGAACGTCCTGTCTATAATTAAAGAAGTATTTTTATTTTTTTTTTTCCAGTGTAGTCTTTTCAAGTTAAGTTCTGCATTATTTTTACCAGGTAATTAGCCTTTCTACTTCACATTAGGAAAAACGTGTAATTTCTTGAAATGAAGAATCACATTTATTTTGAAGCTATAATTTTCCTTTGTAAAAATGTTACCTTTTATTTTTGGTTTCTTATTCAAAGATGATAATTTAGTGGGTTAACTGGTACAGTAGCACTGATCTTTGAAAAGGGGATTCAACTTTAAATCTGTAATAACAAAAAATAAATTGTCTTGTGATATATCTGACCTTTTTCTTGCTTGATATAAATAAATTTGGCACCTTAAATGTTTGTCAATAAATACATTTAAATTTTTTGAACTATAGTGAGAGAGTTTAAATTTTCTGAACCAGAAATCATCTGGTTATTTTCTAGGAATTTTATGGCTTTGCGTTTTCCTTCTAGATCTGTGCTCCATTTGAAGTATTTGAAGGTGTTAGGTCTGTCTGTGGGTTTGTGTGTGTGCCTGTATGCCTGCTTCAGCACCGTCTTTGCTCCTCTTTCTAAAGTGATCAGCTGACTGTCTTTATTCAAGCCATTTTCTGGGTTTTTTATTCTGTTTGGTTGGTATGTTTGTCTGTTCTTTTGTCAGCACTGTTTTGATTGTTTATTGTAGTTTCATAGTAATTCAGATCTTCCATTTGTCTTTTTTACAAAGCTTGGCTTTGTAGACTGGCTGCCTGGAACTCCTGCTCCAGTTGTAGGACGGTCCTGTTTCCTGGCACGCGCGCGCGCACACACACACACACACACAATGTTGGCATGCATAAAAAAATAGCCAAGAAATACATTACAAACGCTCATCATCATTAACATGAAGAAGATGCAAATCCAAACCACTCAAATTTCATTTCACCCTAATCCCAAAACTGCAATAGAGACAGTAACAGAGGTGGATCAGAGTAGTGTGGGTTGGAGGAGAACTTGAACGACTGCTAGTAAGAATGTTCAGCTGCTAGACCTGGAAAGAACAATACCCAACTTCATATGGAAGAATAGAACCCCAGGACAGCCAAAACAATCCTGTACAACAAAAGAACTTCTAGAGGCACCATAATCCTGGGCTTCAAACTCCACTGTAGAGCTACAGTAATGAAAACAACCTGTTAATGGTATAAAAACAGACAGGAGGACCAATTGAATTGAATTGAAGATATGGATGTCAGTCCACACGCCTACGAACACCTGATTTTTGACAAGCTAAAAATATAAAATGGGAAAAAGAAAGCATATTCAACAAATGATGCTGGCATAACTGAATATCAACATATAGAAGAATGAAAATAGATCCATATCTATCGCCATGCACAAAATTCAAGTCCAAATGGATCAAAGACCTCAACATAAAGCCAGCCACACTGAATCTCATAGAAGAGAAAGTGGAAAGTACACTCGAACACATTGGCACAGGAGACCACTTCCTAAATATAACCCCAGTAACACAGACATTGAAGAAACAATAAATGGGGCTTCCTGAAACTGAGAAGCTTCTGTAAAGCAAAGAACACAGTCAACAGCACAAAGCGGCAGCCTACAGAATGGAAAAAGATCTTCACCAACCCCACATCAGACAGGGGGCCGATCTCCAAAATATACAAAGAACTCAAAACTTGACATCAAAAGAACTAATAATCCAATGAAAAATGGGGTACAGACCTAAAAAGATAACTCAACAGATGAATCTCAAAGGGCTGAAAGACTCTTAAAGAAATGCTCAACATCTTTAGCATCAGAGAAATGCAAATCAAAACCACTCTAAAATTCCAGCTTACACCTGTCAGTATGGCCAAGATCGAAAACAGCTTATGCTGGAGAGGATGCGGAGTAAGGGTAACACTCCTCCATTGCTGGTGGGAGTGCAAACTTGTACAGCCACTTTGGAAATCGGTATGGTGTTTTCTCAGAAAATTTGGAAACAATCTACCTTAAGACCCAGCAATACAACTGTTGGATATATACCCCCAAAGACAATCATACCACAAGGATATGTGCTCAACCATGTTCATAGCAGCATTATTTATAATAACCAGAACCTGGAAACATCCTAGATGCCCCACAAACAAAGAATGGGTAAAGAAAATGTGGTACATTTATTCAATGGAGTATTACACAGCGATAAAAAAATAAATGACATTTTGAAATTTGCAGGCAAATGGATGGATCTAGAAAAAAAAAAACCACCATACTGAGTGAGGTAATCCAGACAGACCAGAAAGTCAAATATAATATGTGTTCACTCATAAGTGGTTTTTAGACCTAAAACAAAGAAAACCTAGCTATTGGCTGCTTAGCTTTTTATTAAGCCAACAGTGACACATCTCACAGTATAAAGGAATATTTTAGAACACTCCCAAGCTGCCATTGCACATCATGGCTTTTGTTTGCTGCTTGGTTTTTGTTTTTGTTTTTAAACCTGGTTCTAGGGGTCAACGTAATATCCTCTGGATTGCAAAGAAAGCACTTTACTGACTGGGCCATCACCTTAACTTACTGGTTCATCGTCATTGTCAGCATGGGTTGAGCTATGCATAGAGGATTGGTAAAGGACACTTCTAGTTATGTATCTGCGGCTATTTACAGAGAATTATAATGTTTGAGATTTATTTTTTTTGAAAGTAATTTTATTAAATTATAAAAGTTTCCATTTCCGCCCCTCCTCCCAACACCCTCCCACGTTTGAGATTTATTTTAAACTACATACATGCATGCATTTTTGAGTTGGGTATTTAGTAAAACCATCGTTAAGAATGTGACTAGATCTCACTAGAAAAAGATATGCAAATGAGGAATAAGAAAGAAATACCTTGTTTCTCTAATGTTTTCTGACTTTGTGTTTTATGGGTTTCTGCGTGTGCGTATGTGTGCACGTGTGTGCTTCTTGTGCTTTTTCTTTGTTTCTTTTCCCTCCTGTTTGATTGTTTTGTTCTATCTTGGTTTGTTTTGTTAGTTGCCTATTTGCTTTTTAAAGGGAAAGCATGGAGTTGGATGAGTGGGGTGGGGAGAAGGTCTGGGAGAAGATGAGGAAAGGGAAACCTGTGATTAGAAAGTATTGTATGAAAAATATGTGTTCAACAAAAATCAACACATAAAAAGAAATACCTCGAATACAGTAACCCATCAAATTTTACAAGATATAAGCTACTTGAAGAAAATCAGAATGAGATATAAATTTATATGCCGAATGTTAGAACAGCACCTAATTCAAAAAACAAAAAACACCATTAGACATAAAAAAATTATTTAGGCCCCAGGGTAACAGTGGGTGACTTTTAATGCCAAGGATAACTTTGTATAACTGGATAAAACATCTCCAGATTCTTGTGAGAGCACAGAAGACTTCAAGTAGCTAAGGAGCTTGAGCAAAACCAGATTGGAAACAAAAGAAGACACAAGGAAAACACTTCAAGATATTGGCACAGGTGGAATTCCTAGATAAGGCTTCAAAAGTGGAGAAAACAAATTGACACCTGGAATTACATCTCAGGGTCTGCCCAGCAAATTAGATGGCTTTCACTTTGTCTTGTCAGCTACAGAATGAAGTAGCCTGTGGTAGTTTGAGTGAACAGCCTCCATAGACTCACATATTAACTGTTTGGGAAGGATTGGGAGGTGTATCCTTGTTAGAGGACCTGTGTCACTGTGGGTAGGCTTGAAGTGTCCAAAGACTGGAGCTCTCTGCCTGCTGCTTATGGTTTGAAATGTGGGCTCTTGGCTATTCCTGACGACACGCTTTGCTTTGCCATCATAGATTTCAACCCTCTGGAACTGAAAAGCCAATTAAACATTTTCTTTTATTAAGAAATGTGTATTCATGTATTTGTGTGTGGGGGGGAGGGTGTGCACCAGAGCGCAGTTGCCTGGTGAGGCCAGAAGAGAGCATCAGATTACTGGAGCTGGAGTTTCAGGTAGGTGTGAGCCACCTGTTTGCCAGTGTTGGGAACTGAACTCTGGTCCTCTGCATGAGTAGTAAGTGTTACTAACTGTTCAAGCATTTCTCCGGATCCTCCAGAAATGTTATTTAAGGGGAGAAAGATCCATTTTGTGTGTGGGCAGCACCATCTAGTTTCGAAGGGTCTTGAATGGAATAAAAGGAAGAAGGAGGCTTACTAATGCAGACTTGTCTCAGCTCCTGGCTTCCATGATGAAGTCTTGTGTCTACCATGCCCTCTCTACCAGCTAACGGGCCTAAAACACAGGCCAAAAGAAAATCTCAAGTTGTTTCCCTCAAGTCGTCTGTCATGACCCAATGGGGGCTCAGGGCAACCCATGCTGGCCTTAAGCAGTCTGCATTGACTTCTGAGTGCGGATTGGAGCATGCACCGTCCTGTCTGTTAGCTGCTATTTTTAAGCTAGGTGGATGAAGATTTTCGTATTCCTTTTTAGAAGACAGATTTAAATAAAAATAACTCCCAATGTTCGCACATTTATATTTGCTTTTTTGAAAAATAGCTCTGTTTTTAATAAAAGAAACTATTACTCTTATTTGGGCATTTGTTACGAGTAAGACTATTATGATTAGTGTAACAGCTCTGTTATGCCTGGAGTGGCCAGAGGGACAGTGCAGGGACACCTGGGTAGTATCATGAAATGGGGACTAAAAGGAATTTAATACGCCAAAATGTCCCCTTGATAGCTTGCAGTTTTATTTTATTGTTCTCCCAGCTTCAGCTGGGAGCCTGACACAGCCAGAGACACCTGAGGAAGTCTCAGTTGGGTTTTGCCTCAATCAGATTGGCCTGTGAACAAGCCTGTGGGGCATTTTCATGATCGCCAGCTGCTGTGGGAGGGTCCGGGCCACTGTGGGTGGTACCAGTCCTGGGGAGGAACCAACTGAGCCGGAGTGCTAGCAAGCCCGGAAGCAGCATAACATAGTTCCTGCCTCAGTGATGGACTGCAGCCTGGAAGCGGGAGTCAGACAAAACCGTTCCTCCTCAAGTTGCTTTTGGTCGTGGTGTTTAGTACACAACAGAAAACAAAGTAGACAAAGTAAACAAAGTTATCATGGTAAAGAAGAGAAGGGAGACAATCTAAATTTGATCGGCCCTAGATAATATTTAACAAAGTAAGTTAGAGAGTATAAGAAATTACAAATAGGGCAGTAGAGTCTACCATAAACCCAACCATATCTGTGCATATATCACTGTTACATGTTCTCATGTGTATATATAATTATATTTGTATGTATTTGTTATCTTTTAGCAGTCTTGTTTCGATTCAGAAACCAAAATCCTGATTTCTATATTGGAGAGGTAATAATGTTTTTAAAATTGAAATTTAGTTATCAACTATATTGAAGTTATTATTATATGTTAAATGAAAGATGCCTGTGCCTAACTTAAAGTGTAGTTAGAATTTGAATGTGTTATTTCCCTATTGGTTTATAATTTCAGATGAAAAAAAAAACACCCTTTACTTAGCAATAACAATAAAAACAAACACGTCTTGATAAAAGCAGAGCATGGGCTTGGGAGACTCCTCAGTTGGTGAAGTGCCTGCCTTGCATGGGGACCTGAATTCTGGTCCACAGTTGGCACTGTGTGTCCTTAGCCCCAGTGCTTACGGTAGGAGGAGACAATGGTTCTCCAGGACTTGCTGGCCAGCCGGGGCAGCCGGTTAGCGAACTCAGATTCAACAGGAGCTCCAACTCTGTCAGGAAAAAAAAAAAAAAAAAGGACCTAATTGTAAAATAAAATGAAAAAAAATGTTAATTAAATAAAATGAAAAAAAAAAGAGGGGAAACTGGTCGGTATGTTAAAAAAAAAAGTTAATTAAATAAAATAAGACTCACTCTCCGGAACTGAAACCCCCAGTTCAGTGTTTTAGTAGCCTTTTCTCCATATGATACATCTGTACATGTTTGCATGTGTCTGTACATGTTTGTATGATAGCATATAGTTTTTGATGTGTTCATGGCTTAGCTTGAGTCATTCATGAATTTGACATTTCGTTTTTTATTTAACCTAAAGTTTATTTTCTATCTTTTTCTTTTCTAAGTTGCCGTAGCCATGGTGTCTTCACAGCAATAGAACAGTGACTGAGGCAGTGCCTCAGCCTCCTGAGTGCTGCTGGGGGAGGGGTTGGGAGTTTGGGGTGAGGGCGGGGCTCCAGGCCTGCGCTCTCGAGCCAGCTTCACTATTTCTTACACCTGCCTGACATGACAAGCAGGTCGCACTGTAGCAATGCACAGACAACTGATAAATCAACTTGCTCTCTCTCCCTTAAATCCAGGAATCAAAACTAGACTCCAGGGAAACCACAATTCATTGCTAATGAATGGGCCTTACAAACTGCCCTTCAGTTACTAAGACTTAAAAATGGTAAATCTTAAATACCATGTTATTTTGGCCTCTTTAGGGTGGTGTGTGTGTGTGTGTGTGTGTGTGTGTGTGTGTGTGTGTGTGTGTATAGCAAATGTAGAATTTGAAGACAAATTCCCCTACTTGTCTATGCCTTGGGCAAGCTTTGGCTTCTGTGAGTTTAAGCTTTCCTTAATTTGCCAACTGTGGCCTTAGAACCTTGTTTTAAAGCAGCAGTAGCATCAAAGCTGAAAGGCTTTCCTTATTACAATACACAATAAGCGGTAATAGTCATTATTCAGGAAATTCCAGTGAAGAGAAAGAAAATGTAAAGACAGCTTGTGATTCCCAACCTGTGCTTGGTTTTCCCTTCAGAGCAGATGGGCCTGGGAGATAACGCAGTCATGAGTGCTGTGGAAGCTTAGCCTGACCAAGTTCAACGTCGGAATTTGTGTAAAAAGACAAATGTGCAATCCTGGTATTTCTACAGTAAGGATGGAGGCAGGCAGGAGAATTGCCTGGAAGCCCGTGAACCAGTTATCCTGGAGCATGGATGTGACCCAAGTTAGATCCCCAGAACCCAATCAAGGCAGGAGGAGGGATCTGACTCCTAAAATTATCCTCTGACCTCCATATGCTTCTCTCTTTTTCTCCCCCCTCCCTCTCCCTGACAATATTTGAATAAATAAATGTAGAAGTAATAACTGCCCTGACTTTTGCATTTTTCTTACTATAATTTTTCCCAACCAACCAATTCATACAGAAAAATATAAATATATGTTGTATTAATTCTGAACAGGACCCATGCATACCTCTTAAGAAGAAAGAGGAGAAGTGGGGCTGGGGAAGGGAAGTGAGGAATGGTATGTTTGTTGGCCGTGACCTGCTGTTTTTAGATTGGCAAGTTGTCCCTGTTTGGCTGCCTTTGCCCATCTCATTTGGCAACTCCTGAGCCCGCATCTTTCAGAAGGTGTAAGAAGCTTGCAAGGTGGGAAGGATTTCTTTGGCTTTTCCAGGCATCGTTGCTGAGAAAGCATCACTACAGACTTTTGGAAGGGCACGGACTGTAAGTAAAACCATGGGCGTTTGAATTAGTGCAGTGGATACATGTAGCTTGAAAGATATGCTGTATTTCTACCTTTCTGCCTTCATAGGGAATGACGAATCTATCAACCTTCTGCTTAACTTGGTTTTATCCGTTATCAAGAGAAATTAATTTAGAGGCAGATGCAGATTCCTTACATCTACAGATTCAAACATTTGTGCACTCCTATGGTCATTATGATCAAATAATAGAGAGAAAGGGAAACAGCATGGGTGCCATGGGAAGAATGCCTGGAGAGAGCCAAGTCCAGGATTAATGTATTAAGATGAATTCAAGGCTAAAGAAATAGGAGGTAAATAGAGAAATCTAATATCCCATCGATGTGGGTAAAGGATGCTATTATACCACTGTCTAATTTTATTTGTAGTTTATAAAAAGTGCTTTGAAACCTTTCTGTTACAGACTAAAAATCTCATTGTCAGCTTTATGCACTGTCAATGGTGCTGTTTGCCTGTGCTGTCTTATTTCACTATTTCCTATGCTAAGTTTTTATTATTGATCAATGGTCATGTTCTCATGGCTGAAGAATTTTATTACATAAGTTAAGAAATGTTTAATGCTTAATATTTTTATTATGGTTGACGATATCTGGTATTTTAATAGGCACACAAGTTCGTTCGTTTAAAGTCAGCCCTGTCTTAAGCTGCACAATCATTTTAAAGAATTGTGTATTTAAGAAGAAAGTGACTTTTTCATGGCTCTCTCCAAAGTGGTAATTTTCTTCTTCCTCCTTGAGGACTTGAGAAAGGCTCACTATAAGCTTAGTCATGAGTGGAGTAAAACCGTTAGGTGCAAACCATTATTGATTTATTTAAATTTGTTGTCTGGAAGTCACTAATATATAAAGGAATAGGAGCTTAGAATGACGTCAAAGCAAAGGTAAATTTTCAGCTGTAACTCACTTGTAAAGAGAGAACAAGGCACTGTTTATGAAGGGCTTTATTACTGAAAGCACTTTTATGTATTTTGTCATTTAGTCCTTAAATATTTCTTTCTCAGTTAATAAAAATATATGATCTGCTTTGTCTGCATCCATACCTGATATGCAATAACAAATAATAGTAGATCTTCAAATATTGGGTGGAGAGGAAATGAATTTATTGACGCATGGTTTATACTAAGGACAGATACCTGCTGCTTAACATGAAGATAATAGTCTCAAGCCATAGCTGCATTTTTCATATTTATGTTTATCACCATCTTTCCTAGTTTTATCTTCAATTGCATTTGTTAACCGATCATTCAAGCAACATTTAAGGACTCGCTGTTACTTGTTTAGTGGGGCTATAAGGTCATGGGAAGTGTGGAGCGTGTTTATCCGTCACCCTGTTTGTTGCTATCCTCAGGGGACCACTCGATGAGAATGAGGGTCCATACTGTGAATCATTGGCCCACATGACCAGGGATTTGGGTTTGAACCTGGTGACTAATGGATGCATTTGGCTGGGGAAGGTGTTTCTCCAGTTGCTAGTGTCAGTTGAAAGGCTGTGTGCCATGACACTTACGGCCGAGGAAGAAACCAGAAAGCTATCTATAGGAGTGATGCTGTATACCCAGAACAAGGGAATGCCTTGGTGGATATTTTGAGATAATCTTTGACAACTATAATCTTCCCCAATTCTGGGCCTTTGAAAAAAATTCCTGACCTCCTGTGTTTCTTCTGCCGACTCCTGTTCCTCACTCAGTTTTCAACTGTCATTTTCTCCAAGAAACATTTGTGATACCAGCCTAAGGCTGAATGAGATGTCGCTCTTCCAAGTTACCACAGCACCAAATAATTTCCTTCATGCCATGCATCATAAAATTATGCTGTAATGGCCTAATTTGATTGTCATTGTTTTTATTTCATGAGCTTGTGTGTGTTACCTACTAAATGAAAACTCCACAATGACAGGAGTTGATGTGATTTGCTCGCCATTTTACTCTAAGTCAGTGCTTGGTAATGTGTCTGTTAAATACCCGGATGAAAAGTGAATAGTGAGAAAGTCAAAAACTCTGATAATAATTGCCATTTCCCGTGTGTCTGCTAAGTGACTTCATAGATGTTAATATTTAATCCTTGTGACAATCTAGATGGGGCAATCGAGGTTCAAAGGACTGAACTTGGTAAAAAACTATACTGCTTTGATTTGTGTGAACCAGGATCTCGGAATGGAAGCCTTTGTCTTTCCAATTGGAAACACGGCCTCTCTGACATCTTGTATCTGTATAACTAGTCACAGGCTGAAAAATATCTTTATTCTTTACCAGACTTCTAAGCTGGGCATTGTTTTATATTTTTATCCAACTGTGAACTGTGAATATATATCCCTTGATTTATATTCAATAAGTGAAAGACATTGCTTTTGGACTAGAAATCCTAGATGCAAGTAACCCTCCCCCCGCCCCGTGCCACAGTTGTACAGTTCTCTCATTGTAAAGGACTCTGACTTTACAACGGTGAGATGAAAAAAGTTTAAAAATAACCAAGAGTCTTTAATTACTTCAGATAGACATAGTTCAGCAGGGCTGGTGGAATAATTTCTATGTTTTCCTTGTTATTTTTCCTCCAAGAAAGTTTATAACAAATTCGGGAATAATTGCTATTAATAGTATCAAGTTCTTCTTTCCCCTCTGGTATCTGATTATTGAGTCATTTCCTAGCCTTCTGAACTCAGTCAGCAGACTGCTGCTTGTGGGCTGAAGTGCCGTTGCGTGGATTTGATGCAGCTCCTTCCGTTCTGCCAGTGGCCCCCCCTGAAGCCGGTTCAGTGGTAGCTTGGCTTTCCTGCAGCCCTTGGAGCTTGGTGGATTTTCCCCGGCGGTCGTTGACTGCAGCGGCCACTGTTGCCCCCGTGACTTTCCTTTGCTCTTTACCTCCCACTTCAGTTCACGGCTGTGGAGAGGCGAGGGGTCTGGCTTGTGATGCCCATGAGGAGTGTCTGCTTTTGACAGAGACAAGCAGAACCTAGAGATAAGGGAAGGCGTTTTCCGTGACTCCTCGTAAACAGAAGTTCCTCGCATACGGAGAGAAGAGAGCATTTGGTGTGAAAAAGAACATAAATGTATTTTCTGAGCAGTGTCAGCACATTTGACAGCTGCTTTAATAAAGATCCCTGGTGTATAGGACAATACAAACTCACACAAGGGAAAGAACGTATTTTTCTCATCTCAAAAATGTGTTCAAAGTGGATTTCAGTTTCCTAAAACACAATTAACCAAAGTTGTATTTTAATTTCTTAACATAATTTTAGACTTAAATGATTTAAAAGCCAGTTGCAAATTTAATAATAAATTGCTCTAAGGCAAATGTGAGCCTAACATACATTTTGGTCACCGGGTATTTTGTTCTGTCTTCATGTTCTGTAAATGTTTGATGGAGCCACAGTTCATTATTGACTTTTCTTTGATCTTCCCACCGCTTAAAAATATTTGTGTTTCTGCTTTCCTTGTGACTTCGCATTTGTATTGTCTGGCATTGGAATCTGGTGAGTTTGTGGGGGAGAAAGAGAGAGGAATGTGGATAATGTAGGCCCACGTAGGTTGTGGCGGAATGAAAGGAAATCCTAGGCTAGCTTTTTAAAAGTTGAGGTATAATTTATAGAAAGATTGTAAATTTAAGCCGAGATTGGTGGTACATGCCCTTCAATACAGCACATGGGGGCAGAGGCACAGGGGCCCAGAGCTTCATGGCATTTTGAGCCACATAGTGAGACCCTGTTTCAAACAAACAAACAAACAAACAAAGACTATGAGTCTAAAACAGACTTTACACACACACACACACACACACACACACACACACACACACACTCAGCAGAATCATTTCAGTGTAAGAAAGGTTCCTGAGTACACCTTCCAGAAACCATGCATAACCAAGAATCCTGCTGCTTTTTCTCACTAACTTGGTTTTGGTTTTGTCAGGATTTCTAAGAGTTTCTTTTTATAACCTTTAAAAATTACATTTACTTGCTTATTTGAAGTTGGGTGGGGCACACGCGGACCTCAGCATGTGTGTGGAGGTCAAACAACAACTTCTGGGACTGAGTCCTCCTCTTCTGCCCCGTGGGTCCTGGGGACCAAGCTCAGGGCCGTCCATTAAGCTGCGGTTCCCCGCCGAACTGTCTCACTAGCCATTCTTTTGTATCAGCAACTGCAAGATTTAGTTATACAAAATAACTCCTTGCTCGGTTCTGTGCGCCCCCTTGCCCCAACCCCCGCTCCGCTCACTCATTCCTTTCTCGCCCAAGGTTGACTTAGACATTTTGTTCTGAAAGTGACATCTAACATTTTTGCTTGTTATTTGGCATTGTCCATCCCCAAAGCAAAGGGAATGAAAACATCACTTCTGTGAGCCACACAGAGAAAGACTAGCATGTAAACAGATTAACACGGAGGTGGAAATACTGACTTGCGAGTTTGATTTCTAGCAATATAATGAGTCACCCAAAATTTAATTACACACAATAGCATGTTGCTCATTTCTACTGGCCCCATTGCTCCAACCCAGCTCACTCATTCATAGATATTTGTGTTGCCCTTTGTACTACAAAGCAACCAAACTTCTGACTAGAGTGCAAAACAATTACTGAATGCTTTTCATAAATAGAAAAGCAAAAACTCAAGTCAGAGTGAGTGAAGACGGTACTGTAGCGATGACGCTGCGGAGAACTGCCTTTGAGCGTTGGTGCAGGATGGGGTAAGAGGCTGAGGGAAAGGTTCTGAGAAGGATGCAGAAATATGAACGACTTTCCTTTGTTGCCTCAGTTGCTCAGTAAGTTTCAGATGTTCTGTAAATAGGTAAATCATGGAAAAATTCAACTAAGAAAATCAATGGCTAGGGATGGGTAATAGCAAACTACGTTGCATACAGTTGTGAAAACTTCAAAGAATGAATAAAAATTTCAAAATAACTGGTTTGTTTTTGGAATTTGGTAGAATGAAATAACTAGAACCTAGATTTTAACGTTCCTACCTAACAATTTAAGAAACATATTTCCCTTATTTCCATAGTAAAGGCATTTCAACAAACATTTATTAATTTTAAGGTTTTAACATGCTATTTTCTATACTATTGAATAGATACTGCATGCATATATCATAAAATAAAAAATCCATAAATGGACATAATATAACATAAAACTTTCTCTTTTAAGTACTGGCCATTCTTGCCTCTCCAGAAGCAGTTGCTGCTGCCATAGTGGTGTCTCCAGAGGTGCATAAGTGTGTACCTTCCCACACAGAACTTACAAACTATAACCAGGACAGTATTCCAAGCCCACCATCTCTTCATGCAACTATTACTCTGGGAGATCATTTTAATACTTGAGGTTTGTCTTGCCCTTGGGAGAATGTACGTATGTTCTTTCATGTCATAGATGTATCCCACTTGTTCTATTTTGGTATTTCAGATACTTCTGAATAAATGCACACACACATGCACACCATAGCTCTTCTCACCTGTGTCTATTATCTGTCCTATAAGCCGAATTCCTAGATGCAGAACTTCGGAGTCAAAGATACAGCCACTTAAATCACCATACTCATTTGCGTGCAGCAGGACTCCTGCCAGAATCTGCGATTGTTCTTTTCTCTCTGATGAAAAAAATGTCCTTTTTTTTTTAGTTTTTCAAGACAGGGTTTCTCTGTGTAACAGTCCTGGCTGTCCTGAAACTCATTTGGTAGACCAGGCTGGCCTTGAATTCACTGAGATCCTCTTGCCTCTGCCTCCCAAGTGCTGGGATTCAAGGTGTGCACCAACACCTGGCAAAAAAAAATCTTTCAATTTGGCTTGCTAATATACTTGGATTTATGCTTCTTAAACAGTTTTAGTGTTCTGTATACTTAGTAAGGCTTGCCTTTCTGTGTTTATGAAATTTTCTTTTGTCTCAGGTA